TACCTATTTATAACAAAATTACCACCAATATCTAGTAAATTATCGACAATATGGTAAAATGGCCAACAATACATTTTATCTGTAGTCGAAGACATAGAATTGCGCTCAAAATATTTAGATTTCAGCCTTAAACAATCCTTAGCGGTGTTGATATGCTGCTAAACAAAATAAAAAAGTACAGGGTGAATGAAAAGTAACTTCCTATTTTATGTTTGAGTAGCCAGCCAGAAGACCTGGCATAACACCCTGTGGCGTTTTACATTGGAGTTGGTCTGCTATACCAAGCCAAGACTTTGGAAAAACTTAAAGAGCGAATACAAGGAGTTATATCTTCCATAAAACAAAAGTTACAGGGGAAATCAATTGACGCGATTCCTGGTCGACTCGAGAAGCTTGTAGCGAAATTTGGTGCCCATATCGAATTTGGAATAAAAACCTCATGCTTCAACGCTTTCCTCTCATATCCATTTCTTGTAAAAATTAGAGTTAAATAAATGAGTATTTTAAGATGGGAAGTTACTTTTCAACCACCTTGTAGAATTAGAATTAAGCCCAAACAGAGGTGGAATGATAAGATAACTCTGTAGGCGCCGACTAAATTGTGAGGAATACTAAATAAGCTTGCAGGAAATGACATACTATTTCACCATCTAACACAAGTGGAAATTGCGACAAATGAATATTACATTATTTATATTATTTAGATTCGGACTATTGCCGCTTTAATCACAACGTTTCAGTCGTTGTACCTTCCGAACTTCATCAGGTGTATATCAATCCAGCTAACCTACAGACAATTCTGGAGTGAACCCTTTATTTAATCTATCTATCTAATATATCTCGTCTAATTCTTTGCTTTAGTTCTGCTCAGTTATTGCATACCCCGTTTCTCTTGAATACAAGTACACACTTCCCGGCCCACGAACTCACAATTACACTATGATCAAATTCACAAACCAATGCTTCAATACACGAGGCTATTGTCACGTAACAATTGCCCAGGGGCATTTCGACGTGGTACAATGATTAGCAAGCTTGTCTCTCTAGATCAATTACGACTGAATACGACTGAATAGTGAGTTCGATTCTCACTCGGTGCCCCGTATTTTTGGCCTTGTGCCACATCTAAATTACGCTTAGAAAAACATTTTAGGGCAATTCGCTGTGGTGTAATAGTTATCAAGCTTGTCTCTTTAGATCAATTACGACTGAATAGTGAGTTCGATTCTCACTTGGTGCCCCACACTCTCTGCCTTGTGCCACATCTGGGCTTAGTAAATCACCATTATTATGGCCCAGAAGTTAATGAATTTGCTAACAATAGTATAGTGATTATGGTTTCAATCCCTGGTACGGGCGGTGTGTATTTAAATTCTGTGGAAACGGTGCGAGCAGAAACTAGACAAGATGTTCAGCTCGAAATTCCCTGAAGGATACCCGGATCAACAAACACCTGATGAAGACTGGAGGGCGCAACGGCCGAAACGTTCTGATAACAAAAACAAAGTTAAGGGTAATCGTCCGCATGTAAATAATAACATCATTATCAAAATCTACGTGCGGTGTCCTTTCAGGATATGTGTGATCATGGCTCTCCACAACTTCCTATCCGTTGTAGCTCTAAGCAACGTTTGACTCTTTATCATTCTTCTTAGCCCTTGCTATGCCATCATTCACGCAGACGTATTAGGGAAGTTGCTCGATGTTTCCCTCTCCCTCTCCTTCCTTCATTATTTCCTTTGAGTGTTAAATTTTCCAAGACCTCTTTCGTCATAATGTCTCTTTCGGGTTTCAGTTGACTTTAGAACTTCCTTGTTACTGAAGTGTTCTGTCAATGTTCTTAGCAACCGCCTGTCGAACCATATCTCTGTCATTTCGAGTGGGTAAGACAATTGTTCACCATTCGCTGCCATATAGGAGGAGTGACATAACATCGCAGTTCAAAACTCATTACGTTCTTTCTAATGAATTTCCCGATGCCTTAAGACTTTGCTTAATATTTAGAAGATCTCTTTCGTTATTCCGATGTCCCTTCTTGTCTGTATACCACATTTTCTCTTCTATGTTATTATACAACCTAGATAGTTAAATTTATATATATCCTGATGTCTCCAGTTAGGCTGACTACCCAACATATCTTATATATAAAGCTCAAAGTTTGTTGCCCTGTCTGCTGAAAATTAAACACATAAATTGGTTGCCTACTCGTGTATGTCTGGGCAGATATTATATAAAAGTATGGCATCAGATAAATAACGTTTTTATCACTTATATCTCCAATAGCATGTGTCTTATATCTTGCGCAACTTAGCTGTTCTTCCTTAATGGAGATATAACTAAATTGCATATTTTGTTTCTGATCGTTCCGCTGGATCCAAATATATTGATTCTGCTGCTTAACAGAAGGAGTGAACTCGCGACATTTAGCCAACACGAATGGCTGGAAGATACAACTGAAATATTATGGCTATAACAACCCTGTTCAAATACTATAAGGAATGACATCCCCTCTCCAGATTTACAAGCAAAGCCTACAGATGCATGCTGGGATTTCTTCTTAAACGAGAAACATGAATCACTTCTCGATCCCATCCGCCATATTGTTGTTCTTTCTTGTCTTGAAATCAGAACGCTACAATGACGTCTGTATCCATATTGTATTTGAACAACCTTCTTACTTTGTAATATGCTTGTCTTATTACTGTTTCTTTACCTAGTTTTGAAATCTATGTGTACTGTTTGCTAAGTATTATTTTGCGATGTTATTTTCTTTCTCTTATTGTTGTTAGGAATCTTTGTCAATTCTGTTTGTTGAGTCTTTTTGTCTATTACACTTAACCGTGGCCAATTACTCCATAACTGAATATACAATATGCTTGCTTATAGTCAGTTCTGCACACACACTGTTCATTAATTATTCATTAATCAATCAATTTAAGTTCCTGTTCATCTGATTCCCTCCCTACAGAAATATGCATAACATCGATTACTACGCCAAATTATCCGGCAAAATAGTGCCTCCTTTCAATATGCAAATAAACCTAAAACATTAAAAATGTCATGCTATAAAGCATACTTTTCTACTACAATTCGCCTAATCCAATGCTTGAGAGTTGCTGTTAAAATAGTTATATGGAATTAGATATGTGATATAAGTGAAGCTGCTACCACGTGAAGGTTATGGGGATATTAAAAGTATTAGGTTGGTGCAAAAATAATGACGTAATAATGTCGTTTTTGACGTATATTTTAACGTCAAAAACGACATTATTACGTCATTAGTTTTGCACCAACCGAATAGAATCGATAATAATTGATCCATGACTCGAGGCGGTTAAGATTGTAGTGTTCAGGGAAGCACCAGCGCAGGAGTCTGTTCCAAAAAATAGCAGCTTTTGCGAGAAAAAAAAAAGATGAGTGGAACTTTTTCCTTACATTTAAATACGAAGGAAATGTGGATGATTCGACACCGTGGAAGTGGTATGACGTGGCCTGGATGTAATCATCTTCACTGATAGTCCTAAAGAATGGTCATCATCAGAACATTTGCAGTGGAAGCGACGATAGTCTTGCAACGTTACGTCAGTGGGAAAAGAGACTGTAGAATGCGGAATGAGTCAACCAAGAAGACTGCTTGAATGATTTCTATCTCCATCGAAGCTGAAAAGTAAAAAAAAATAAAACGAGATAAAAGTATCGCTCAATAATATAGGGAAAATTGTGAACTTCAAAATAAAATTTTAAAAAATAGTCACGATAATTTAGATCTCAAGTGAGAAGCTTGTGGACTAGATAGAAATCTTGGCAAGAAGGAAAGAAAACCAAAAAAAAAAAAAAAAAAAAAAGATTCTGGTAATAAAGTATAAAAGAAAAAATATCAGCTAATTAGTGGGGAACCCGAAGGTTTCTTCGGATATTAATGAGAGTTTGGCGATGTTATAATAATAGTTGCCAATGGCTGAACAGTGGTGCCTTCATTAGCCAAGGCCCAACTAACACGAGCCACAAAAAGGTTCCAGATTCCGGAAATTGGTTTATTTTTAAAATCTTTTCACTATTTTGCACATGCAGGCGCACTCACGTGCACACAGTGAGAGAGAAAGAGAGGAAAAAGAAGAGGAAAGAAAGAATAAGAGAAGAAAGAGAGTTACAGTTTGTGTTATTTATTTATTATTTTGTAACTTTTGTGAAAGTTCATTATGGAATATATCGTTTATTTATTTGATTTAATTGTATTTTTTTAAACTTTTTTATTCATTTTTAGATAATTTTTAATTCATTTTTTTATATTTGATTTTTCTGTTTAAAATGCTTTTCCTGTCATATTTCGTACCATACATCAATTTCAGTAATTATCGTTCCCACCTATTATTATTATTAATATTATTATTATTACTATTATTATTTCATTGTTTCTTTTTGTTCTTTTTTTCTCTTTTTTTTTTTTTTTAGTTATTTTTTCTAAATATAGTTTTATTGAAGAATCAATTGCTGATTGGCTAAAATCCAGTCTTCGTTCTCTTTTCCCGCCTGTTTTCTCTTTCTCTGGCGATTTCTCTTCTTTGCATTTCATTCGTCTTTGTCTTTCCTCTCTTCCTTTTCGCTTTAAATCTTTTTATTCTTGTTTTTCTTTTTTTTTTCAACGTTTTCTTCTTTCAACTCAACTTTCCTTTCTTTTTCTAATTCTTCTTTGCTTCTCTTTTTTTTTCTTTTTTTTTTGTCTTTTTATATTCTACTCCCTCCAATATTTTCTTTTTTTATTCTCCTTCCTCCAATCTATTTTTCCTTCTTCATACCTATTCTTGTGATAATTGTTTCTTATTACTTCTTTGTCTCTTATTAATTTTTTAATCGACCTAATCATTCTTTCCTTCAGATTCTTCGTTTTCCTTCTTTCAATTGCCTATTCCTTCATGATCTAATAATTCGTCTTTTCCTTCTTTTTCTCATTTTTCTTTTTCTTCTTTTTCTTCTCATTATTCTTTTGCATTGACTTTTGCATGTTGCTTTATTCTCTTCTTTCTTCTTCATTTCATTCTTCTTCCAATATTAATGGCTTCCGTTTTTCTTTTTTTCTTTTCTTTCTTATTTTCTGTATTTTATTTGCTTCGTTATAATTTCTCTTTTTTCATGTTTCTTCTTCTTCTTCTTCTTCTTCTTCTTCTTCTTCTTCTTCTTCTTCTTCTTCTTCTTCTTCTTCTTCTTCTCCCATTACAAATTCTTGCTCTTTTTCTTCTTTTTTCTATCGTCTATTTCTTTTTCATCAAGTAATTCTTTTTTGTTTTTCTTCTTACAATATTTCCATCGTTCTTTCTTGTGTCATGCTTCCGCCTTTTGCCTATACATATTCAATCGTATTTCTTTTCCCCTATATCCATCGCCTCTATTTCTCTTTGCTTTCTTATTTATTTTCTTCCTTTCTATCGCCTCTTCTTTCTTTCTTTCTTTCTTTCTTTCTGTTGTCACTACTGCTGTTCTTTTTCTTCTTCATTTTCTTCTTGCAAAATTTCACACATTTTTTTCCTGCTTAGGTCATTCTTCTGTCTTCTCTCTTGCTGATGTATTTTCATCCTCTTTCTTTTTCTTCTTCATTCTATTCTTCTTTCAATATTCATGGGCAAAATTATTAGGCGTCTTTGCTTTCTTTCTTGTTTTCCTTCTTCTTCTTCTTCTTCTTCTTCTTCTTTTTACTTCTTTCTTTCTTTCTTACCTTTTTTATCAGTGTGTTTTATTGTTTTATTTATCTTGTAATTCTTTTTCTACTGCTGCTGCTGGTACTACTGCTATTACTACTACTACTACTACTAATAATAATAATAATATCAAGTCTGGTTGTTGTTCTCACAATTATTATTCAACAAACCTTTTTCTCTTCATGGTATGTGTTTTCATAAATCTTCTTTTCCATCATTAAATTAAATGCTCCATTAATCTAGTCTTGTGATAAGGCTAATCCCCCCACCATCACCCACCACTAACTCCTGTCTTTTTTCCGACAAATGTTGAATGTTTTAAGACAGACGAATCAATGCTAATAAATCAACAACCTTGTTTTGCATCCGAATATTTAAATTGTTCCGAATTTTTAACGAAATTTAGTTTTGGAACATTCACCTGTCCCGCTCTCTATAGATGTTCAAGCTGCATAAAATATGTTTCGGTTTGTTTGTTTGTTTAAACAGTCAATATTTTAATAATGTTGGCAACATCTTCAAGAAAGTCAATGTCGACTTTTTCCGGAATAAAATCGATTAAAAAAAAATACAATATTTCAAAGTGTATTTTCTTTGATAGATAGATATTTGCAAAGTAAAATTCATATTTAGCCAAGATAAACAACACATTACCACCGGAAGCCAATTCAATATGTTTATATTGAGGCAGAGACAAAACACAAATTATCTATCGCTTCACTAATGTAAATACTTGCAATCTTCTTTGGCTTCCGATTTTGAAAATGGAAATTTTAATAATCCAAAACAAATGCGCGCAATATGGCTACTTTAGGCGATTCAAAAGAATCTGTATTTAAATATTGTTTTCTTTGGAATTAGAATTAGTACTGACAATTTCTATCAAAACAAAATCAGTGATATACATGATGGAACTGATGAGCTATATTCTTTAGTCCGACTAGTTCAGAGCTTCACAGCTAAGATCCGCCGTGCGACGTACTTCTTCTTTACCAATGGAATATAAAGGAAATGAGGATGATGCGACCCAATGTACGTGGTATTAGCTGTGAAGCTCGAGTCATCCTCATTTTCTTCATATTCCATTGGTAAAGAAGTTTCATTCAGTTTCTTCCTGTCAACCGTGACTTTGTGGAACAAACTACCGATAGCATATTTACTCCATTATTTCAATCTTAACTGTTTTATCTCAAGGCTCAACCCTTATATATCCTACAAATCCTCATCATCTTCTTTTATTACCATCTGCATACTACATCCATAAAACAACCTCATTCAGTAACCCTCTATTTTGAGTGGCTCTTGGGCTTTGAATTGCATGAACAATATCGTAAATCAACTAAAAATTTAAACACACACACACACACACACAAATATATTAAACATTTGGAGTATTTTCAAATCTTATTATGATTTTCTCTATACAGCGAGATTTGTACAGAACTTTCTTACATTTCCATTTTTCCTATATATATATATATATATATATATATATTAAAATGACTTTTGTTTCTTGTATTCCGTTTGTGTACGAACAACAGTTCTTTTTTTAAACTTCGTGGGTGTAGAAAATGGCCAAATTATTTTTCATTTCGAGCGTTTTCGATTAATCTGTAAAAAATACCTTGCCAGTTATTTTTTAATAATATATATATTCCAGAGTGAGGGATTACTACCCAAATACACGACAATATATATATATATATATATATATATATATATATATATATATATATATATATATATAGTTTTAAGGTGTGCTATATTTATGGGATAACGTGCTCAATATCAGAGATAGAGCGCATATAAATATAAAAGTGAACATAGAAGTCCCCACTCCAGGAGGCGACAGGCTGTTTCATGCTAGATGAAAGTCGGCACACGGCAGGGATGAAGGTGAATTTAAGCGTGTAACCCGGATATAAGAGAAACCCGGATATAAGAGATTTTCTCCGGTCCCAAATTAGAGCCTGTGTTAATGTATATAAAATAGACCAAACCCGGATATAAGAGAAACCCGGATATAAGAGACTTCTTCTCCGGTCCCGACAACTCTCTTATATCCGGGTTACACTGTATATATATATATATATACTACTTTAACTATGCCGTCCCGTCCTTGGTATGACTATAAATTACATCCGACAACTGGGTGATTTGTGGAACGTGGAACTACCTCTTAACTGCATTTGTTCCAGGTCCACTCTGATCCGAAGTAGTAGTACTCCTTAGTGTCAAGCTATAGGCAAATAGTGAAAGCCCAAACGAAAATCACTAGTGCTGAAGGGTGACTTTGGTATCAGAGCATGCAGTCTATTATGTAGACTAATCGAAAAGGTGTAGAGGGAAAACAATCGCACTCACAAAAAGAAGTTGTTTTTTTACTGCTTCTTTTAGAAAAATAAATAAATCATTTTGGTTAAATCTTGTTCACAGTTCATCAAATTAACACTTTCTGTTTTCGTGAGAAGTAGACATTTTTCTTTGATTTTTTTTTTTAAATGTTTAAATAACTTTCATTTCGCTTGACGACAGGTGTCAGAAAAATGTCGTTGATTGATGACTGGAAAAGTGAAAGTTTGACCTAAATTAAATTAATATTGTTTTAATTTAAATTGTTTTAATTTCCCAAATCTTCTTTTAAGATAAAATTCAACCTTCTTTAAAATTAACATTAATACATGAAATCTGAATTTAAATACTTTTAATCTACTTTTAAAATTAGCTATTGCAGTGAACTTTTTAAAATGTCCCTTAACAAAATTTAACATTTAATGTATAATATGATCAAGAAATCTTTTTACATAACTTTAAAAAAATAATTTTGAACATTTAAAATTAAATCTTAAGGCAGTGAAACTTGTGAAAACTTACTTTTTAATCACAAAAAATAGACTTTAGCTGGTTGCTCCTTTTCACTCCACGTATGAACTGGTCAAAAACCTTTCTGAATATTGGTCACATAACTGAACCCGGTTCTTAAGAAGGGGTTAAGAATATTCTCCATCAGTTAAAACTTTTTAAAAGTTAGTAAAAAAAAAAATAACTTTTGATGTGACACTAAAGTTGTCAGAAATTCTCTATAACGTCTTCCGGATAATACAAATTAATTCTTACACAGGTATCGAACACGCTTCTCTTTCTTTCGTATTAGGGCTACTGAAGAAGAAAAACTAAGCAACCCTAAATTTGTGATCATGCATAGCGTTAGTTGTGCATCTTGCAAATGTAGAAATGCTTTTGTGGTAGAAGCACTTTAACTTAAAAAAAAAATACTTTTTAAAAAAATACATGTTTTAATAAAAGAAAATAACATGTTTTACGGCGCCATCAAGATATAAAAAACTGTTTGGACTTTTTAAAATTGGAACAAAAAAAAACATGCCCTGTTCTAAAAATGGCGCCATCAAGATTTAATTGTTCGTGACTTCTTTTACGGACCGTGTTCCTTCAGAGTGTACGCGATCATCACCCTCCACAGCTTCGAGCTATGAAAGGCGATAAGTTTGTCCCTTTACTATTCCTCAGTCTTTGTTCAAGGTCATTCGGTGGTTTACTCGCTGTTTTCCCTCTTACTCTCAATATGTCCTGTGAGTGTCTAATTCTCCAAGCCCTCTTTCCTCATTATGTCGGCCATAAATTTCAGCCGTCTTTTTCTAACGCTAAGTACAAGTGTCTTTTTTTTTTATTTTCGTTTTCCTTAAAAAAACGTCCTCATTGCTCACATGGTATTCTCAGCATCCTTCTGTAGAACAACATTTCTGTTACCTCGTCTATTCTTTAATCAATGACGAGATTGTCCAACAGTAGGAAATTCAAGTGGACTTAGCAGAATGACAAGAAAGAACTTTAGAAAATAGATGTCTTACTGAAAATGCTGTTGTATATACAGATATTTCAAAATTAAAAATAACTTCTATTACGATTTAAATTTTCTCTGTTCGGAGGATGGATGCTTGTTTACTTTCTTTTTGTGATAATATTACATATTGCCGGTAAAAACAAAGTCACTTTATATTAAATAACTAGCAGTAGAGCCCGGCGTTGCCCGGGGATGTAACAGTAAGAGATAGATCAAGTATCGACTATCATAAAGACTGAAAAATAAAATTGACAAAGATTATTGTTTAAGGTTGACGGACACACATGTCTTAATTAGTTTTTTTTTTTTTTTTACGAATTGGTCAAACCCAAATTCAAATAAAAACATTGTTTTCAATCATTATGAGTCTATCGATTGAATAGAATTTTATTATAAACAATTGTCTTGTAAATGGAATTTTTAAAGCATTCTGAATGTAAAAATAAAGAAAAAAGTGTGCAAGACAATAAGAAACACTACCTACCAAAAAAAAGTGAAGTTATGTTGAAATCGGTTGAAAAATGTAGGAAATCCGATCCCATATATAAACGAACACAACACACACACACACACACAAACAAACAAACAACCTGGGTTTTATAAGTATAACTTGATATGAGTTGTCCCCCTTTCATTCTGGCGACAGAATCTTGTTTTATCATGTTTTCAAATTGATTTCGTGCAAAAACAATTGTGTTTTCCCCATTTTTTGCACTGTCACAACCACCGCAAGGTAATTTTACGCAGTCTTGTGAAGTTCTGTTGAAATCGGTTGAAAAATGTAGGAAATCCGATCCAATATATAAACGTACAGACACACACACACACACACACAATTTGCGTTTTACAATAAGTAAGATTATGATTACAATAGTCCATTATTTGTTAAAAGTGAATCCATTGCTAGGTCTGCTGCTAATAAAGTTGGTTCACTGTGTGGTGCTAGCCATTTTTTCTACTCGGAATCTATCTTAAATATTTAGAAGTCTACCTACCAATCATCCGTGATCTGAATATTGCTGTCAAAATATGGTCCAGTGCTCCTGCTATATATTTAGTGATTCTTGATAAAATCCAAAGACGAATCCGCAATATTATTGTTACTGATCTGGCATGTTGACTTCACTTTACCACCACCCTAATGTAGCTTATAATGACACTTCTATAAATTCTTTGATGGTAATTATTCTGACGGAGATTACGCTGATGTTATTCACTAACTGTTATGGTCCAGGTTAGGACCAAGGAAGAACAACACGAACACAAGAGTAGAAATAACGAAGGTATATTAAACGAAATAATAATACAAGATGTGGAAGGTATCAGTATGACTGTCAGTCTGGTTTGGAGTGAACTACTATCGGCTCAACTCGATTCGACGTCTAGCCACCCCACCACGAGGGTTACATATGGCACAAGGCCGAGTTTAACGTGGGTTTTCCGAGCTCGTA